GTTTTATCTCTGATTGGGTATGGCTGGAAACTCCCCTGAGCTCCAAAGTTTAAACACCCTGGAGGAACCAGCCTGTGCTGGGTGGAGGCTGAGTTAAGATCAGAAGGTAAGTACTAACTTCCAAATTCCCTTTTCTTAAAGCGTTTGAGCGACTATTTATAGTGAAGCCACTTTCCAAATTTAATAGGGCATCTGCTGGGGTAATGTCAACTCTCTGCTCCCTTTAGTTCGTGTGCCGGGTAGGCTAAGCGTGGCTCAATAGCTCCTCACCAGCTGGAAGCTGAAGGAGAGAGAAAGTAAGAGAAAGATGGGTTTTTTAAGTGGGAAACGAATCCTGCAGTGCAGTTCAGAGCTGAGCAAGGCAGCTGTGAAAGCGCTGAAGGGACAAAGTGTGGGGAGGCAAAGGTGGGTGGGAGAACACAGTGCAAAGCTCCAGCATCGCGGCAGCTTCTTCTGGGTTTGAGCAGGGAAGCTGGCCCCTCTCGGCCGCTGGGCTCTGCTCCCAGCTCCAGGGCTAAAGGGCACTGCACACTGAATGTAGATAATGCTGTTTCTGAAAATCCATCCCCTCTTGAACGGTTCTTACATCGCTGAGAAGCATCCTCAGAGAAATTCAGGACAGGCATGTCATTAAGGCTCACTAGGAAATAGGATGGAAATACGGAGTTCAGAGAAAAGCATTAAAAACATTTGTGCCTAGACAAATTCTGTGTTGAATATCTTTGCCAAATATTAATTAAGGCTAAAGGTAGCGCATGCAAGACACAGTTACTTATCGGGCTGCAGCATAAACTCCTGGCACAAACCAATTCTTCAGCAGTGTCTGGGCTAGCGCAGCAGTCCCCAAATGCCCTCCATTCCCATTGCGCTATAGGAATCAGGCTTAGGGAAAAGAAGGTTTTCCCTATTTGCTCTCCATAGTCCTTGGGAATCTTTGGTCGCTTGTACCTTTTGCAAGAGCCAATTTCTCAGTCAAATATATCTTTTCAGGAGCAAGCAACACCAGGTCAGACCACTGGAGTGCTTGTAAGCCGGTGGTTTGTGCGGCTGTCGTGCTGTGGCTTTAGCAGCAATAGCTGTTAGGCTACATCTTCTCTCTTCTTTTATCCTTCTGCTGGCACGGGCTGGCTGATGAATGACAGCAAGTTTCTTTGGCAATGGCATAGCTTTCAACAGGTCAGTAATTTGTGGAGCTTTTGATATTTTACTTCCACTAGGAGTTATAAACCCACGCAGCTTCCATAACTGCCCAGTAGCATGGCGTACTCCAAATGCATATTGAGAATCAGCATAAATATTTACAGTCTTTTCTTTGGCCAACTGATAGACCTTTGTTAATGCGGTTAATTCAGCTGCTTGTGCCCTCAGCTTCAGACTGAGTGGTGAAGCCTCCGTTAGTTATTGAATAACCTGTAACTCAGTCACTGCTCAGATGATATGAGGACCCTCCAACAAATAGTTCCAGCTAACTGGAACAAATACTTCCAGTTTGGCACTGGTGAGGCCGCACCTCGAGTGCTGTGTTCAGTTCTGGGCCCCTCACTACAAGAAAGCCCTTGAGGTGCTGGAGCGAGTCCAGAGAAGGGCAACGAAGGTGGTGAAGGGTCTGGAGCACAAGTCTGGTGGGGAGTGGCTGAGGGAGCTGGGGGGGGGGTTAGTCTGGAGAAGAGGAGGCTGAGGGGAGACCTGATCGATCTCTACAGCGACCTGAAAGGAGGGTGTAGCCAGGTGGGGGTCGGTCTCTTCTCCCAAGTAACAAGTGCTAGGACAAGAGGAAATGTCCTCAAGTTGCGCCAGGGGAGGTTTAGGTTGGATATTAGGAAGAATTTCTTCCCTGAAAGGGTTGTCAGGCATTGGCACAGGCTGCCCAGGGAAATGGTGGAGTCCCCATCCCTGGAGGTGTTTAAATGCTGTGTAGATGTGGTGCTTAGGGACGTGGTTTAGTGGTGGGCTTGGCAGTGCTGGGTTAGTGGTTGGATTTGATCTTAAAGATCCTTTCCAACCTAAATGATTCTGTGATTCTCTGATTGGGATTTAGAAACAGCAGGTCTTGTTAAATCTTCTTGAGTCTTTTCAGCTTCACGGGTGGTTACTACACAGTCGTGATGTGGAGTTCCTTCCCCCAGGTGAAGGGAGTAGAGTAGCAGGGTTCCACTTGTTAGTTACCATCCCAGAGGCTATTCCTTACCCTTCTTGTACAAACAAGGTAATGGTTCACCGTAGTCTGGCAGTCCCAGGGCAGGTACAGCTTGCTTCCAAAGCTTTAATGTCTTTACCTTGTCTGTTTACCATTTACCGAATGGGTTCTCCAGCATCTTGAGCAATAATCGGTATCAGGGGTTTTGCTGTTTCCTTGAAACAGCTATCCAGGCGTGACAGAATCCTACAGCTCCTCAAAAGGCTTGTGTTTGGTTTTAGTTACTGGTCTTGGAAGATTTTGAATGGTTTTAATATGGTTTTCAGATAAACACTGCCCATCTTGTTGGCGAATGTAACCTGGACATTCTATGCTTCTCTTACAGAAATTGTAACTTACGTGGAGAGGCCCTGTGGCCCTTTTCAGCTAAGGCAAACAGTAAGGAATGGATGTCAGCTATACAAGATTCCTTGGTTATTAATAAATCATCAACATATTGTATCAAAACTAGATCAATTTTTTTTTTTTTAAACACAACACCCTGCAAATATTTTACTAAAATTTAAAAAAGTAGTGGAGGACTGAGGGAAGTCCTGAGGGAGCCTTGTCTATGTTAGCTGTACCATTCCCCAAATAAATGCAAAAAGGCATTGAGAGTCTGGATGAATAGATATACTGATTTAAGACAGAAAAAGTTGCCTCTTCTCCATAAGTCAAGGTTTGTATCTGCCCAACTTTAGGGAATCTCAAGTCTCAGTAACCACATCGGAATGGGCAACTCAACTGAGCCCTCGGGGCAAGACTCAGGGCCAGACGCAGGCACTGAAATGTAGCTGTCGGTATGGGGGCTACGTGCGTCGGGTCCCTGGACGGTCAATGGGGATATGTTCACTGGATCTAAAGACTGAGGAGACTTCACCAAAACTGAAGGGTTTTTTCTGTGTCAGAAGCTTAAGACAATTAAAATCCACTTACAGCTGACGGAGCTATTCTTCATTAAAAAAACAATGAAGCTGATGACAGGTTTTTATTCTCCATTTGTCATTGTTCTTCTCACATAATTGAATGCCATATAGAATTTCTTGTCCATGTGAAATGATACCTAAGGCTTTTCACTCCCTCTGCTTTTGTTCTGCAAAAAATAGATTTCCCAAGAGGATTAAGTTTCATATTCTTGGTATTGCGTGCTCTGGCTTTTTTAGTTAAAGGAAAAGTCTTATTTACTGTAGGTTTCTGCACATTACAAGGCGGGGCAATGTGTGTTGAAACGATACGGCTGCAACATATCTGAGAAGTCTGATGACAGAGGCACCAGTGAGTTGTGAGTTACACAGATAAGCTGCACTGCCATACAGTGAAAGTTAGTCAGGCAATGTGCATCAACTAATAAAACCACTGTCGCAGAGCCAAAAAAACCCATTGTCATTAGCAAGAGCTATTTGCACTTTAAAACTGGAGGTGATCATTTTTACCTTGATGTGTATTTGGATTATATTGCCTAAATTACCCAAAATATGCCTATTTATTGTAGTGACATGACTTGGTACTTACCAGAATTGCTCAAGGGAGAACTGTCAATCTGATCGATCTTTAAAATCAAGTTTTGGCAAAATATGTTCCAAATGTACTTTAAGTACACTTACAAAGCACTATGACTTGAAGAAAACACATCACTAGAGCACGGTCAACCTGATTCGAACGGGAAATGCCATGGGGATGCAAAGTGTGACAGATGGAATGCTGCAGCTTTGGCTTTGAGCTCTGAGACAACTGGAGTCGTCTCTAAAATTATTTGTTTAAATCAGGCACTCTACTCTGGTTTCTGAGCCATGAGGTCACAATTAGGATACCCATTTTTTAGGTTTTTTTCTCCCAACCATTAGTGTATGATACTAACATCTTTGTGAAGGATGAACGCTAGTCCCTCTTTTTTTTTTAGTAATCAGGGCAACAAAGCACAGAGAAATTAAGGCCTGGATTTGCAAACACTTGTACTCAAGTGTCGGCACAAGTAGTCCAGCTGGTTGTCTCTACGTACAAAACACCTCGCTACAGAGACACTGTCTCTGGCACACGCTCTATTGCTCGTGATGTAGAGAGGGGTGGGTGCTGCTACAGCAAGCTTCAGCCAGTCCCCCATGGATGGGCCGTGCCCCATGATGGGCCATCCCCCATGATGTGCCACCCTCAATGTGCCATCCCCGATGACGTGCCGATACCCTGGGCAGGCAGGTCCCTGGTGCCCTGGGAGATGCTTTTGGGGGCACCTGAAGCCAATGCAGCTCAGTTCAAGATCTGGTTTTGAGGTGCCGTAAGCAGCAAGGAACCAGGCTGTGGCCATGCAAAAGGAAGCCCAGCCTGTTCCATGGAATGAAGGGAAGAGTAACAATTCATTTGCTCCTACTTGATGAAAGAAGTGGATGGCAGTTGAAGCTGCAAAATGTGCTCTGACATCTGAGAAACAAAGCTAGACTTCAGCCTATCAGTAAAACATGTTTTCCTTTTCTGCTTTTCATCTTTCCAATGAGGATGATGACAATGAGGGTGAGTAACTTCCCTGAGGATGTGGTAGGATTTTCAGTGGTTTTGGATAATTGTCGTAAAATGCAGCAAGGTTCCTCCTGTAGCTTGGGGCTCACACCACTTGTTTAAACACGTCTGTGTTTGCTTATATTCCTAACAAACCTCCCTAGTAGCACTGGGGAAGGCTTTACAGATCTGCACATCTTTCCTTTCCTAGCACAGGCTGCGTGGTGTCACTGGTTTAAACTTCAACAGGCATAGTAAGAATAAAAGGGTCTCTCTCCCCCCTCAAAATGACGGTACTTACAGCAGTTTTACAAGATGCTGTTTTCTGCTTAATATTTTTCAGGAAACCAGGAGCTCAGAAGGATGTCGGGGAAGCCCAGGCTCACTTACTGTAATGGAAGGGGGCGAATGGAGCCGGTACGATGGCTGTTGGCAGCAGCCGGCGTGGAGGTTAGTTGACACTCGGTACGATGTTCTGGACTGGTGTTTTCAACTGGCCTGAGTAAGGAACAATTTAACGTGCATGTGGAGGATAAACGGCTGCAAGAGGGTGACTAAATTCATTTGGCCAGTGGCACTGCATCTTTGTAACTACCTATTTCGGTGGTTAATATTTGAGATGCAAACTCAGTGGAGTTTGGAGTTTATTAGAGCTAATATCAGCCCCCTGAAGTAATTAATCATAATGGGTCAAAATGGGGATTTATTTAAAGGCCCTTAATTAATACGAGTTTTCCTGCTGTGCAAAACCACCTTAACTCAGTCTTAGTTTGCAGTTACAATCTGTATAAACAAAAGTGTCCTTGACTTACATGCCCTGCGTTGGAGTTAGAAATAATTGATTTACCTTGTGCATCCCACGGCTGCAACCGGTCTCCCTCCTGTGGATGCCCGTACTCTGGGTCTGCCCGCGCTTTGGTTATTTCTGAATGAGTGGCCAGGTCCTTCTGCTCCTCTCCGGCTGTGAGGACACGTGGGAGATCCTCAGGACATCTACGGCCAAACAACGTGGTTGAAGATCTGGCCAGTTATCTTGTGCTTACTTCGGTTGTTCCGCGCATGGTTATGTGCAGTGACTTAGAGAAGAAAAATGTTCAAATACAGCCATGTCATGCTGTTCTCTCTCCTCTTCCAGTTTGAAGAGATTTTTTTGGAAACAAGAGAGCAGTATGAAAAGTTAATCAAAGGTAAGAATCCTGACACCTGAGGCTCAGTCCCTCAAAAAACTGCTCCAATTTAGCTAAATTTGTGGTTTAAAATTAGTTTATTTAAACCAGTGCAAACTTCGAGGTGCACACTTAGAATACTGAAATGCTAATTTTGAGTAACCTGTTCTTTCCAGCACCAAGCAACTCCTATAAGCGAAAAGCCATAGCTTCTGTAACTGTGTTTATTGTAGCACATTAAACAGGAGTAGCAAATATTCCTATTTAATGCAACTTCATTATCTATGCTGTTGAACTGTTAGCATTGTTCCTGGCATATTTTTGGTCCAGGGCAAATAGCACTCCCCGAAGCAAATCCTAGGCATCCTTTGGGAGCTGTCCCAGGCCAAGAGCCATTTCCCAGTTGTCATTTAGACGTGACCACCATGCTCTATAGGCAGAGAGAGCTGAATAGAGTAGATGTGGCCCACCTGTGCCAGCTGGCCCGAGCTGTTCTTGAGTTGCCTAGCACAGATGTACCTGTATGTTGGTTCTGAACCTCAGTGAGATCAGCCTCTAAATGAAAGGCCGGCATGGCACCAAAACCCCCAGGAAAGCCAGTTCTCCTTTGCGCTAGGCTCTGTGCGAACATACTAGTGACAGTGCTATGCAGGAGAAGCCTGAGCCATGAAGCTTCTCCCCGTTAACAAACAGGGAGCCAGCGGGGACACCTGCGGAAAGTCTGACATGGTCAAAGCAGCAAGCCACAAAGGTTTCATAGCAACCTTGGGAGTGAGACCAGTTCCCAAACACCAGTGCATAACCCCACTGCCCTTGATATTCGGCCAGATGAAACCCAGCAGTGAACCCCTTCGCAGCCACCCTGGGAGGAGAAGACCTTGCTGCTGGGGTGGGGAAGGAGTTGGGACTGTGAGGAGCACTGCAGAGTGAACCTGGCCGGCAGTTTACCTGCTGCTCAAGATTTGTAAGAGAAACCTCACAGCAGGCTAAGCTTGCCAAGACATACTGGGAGACTTGGGCGAGGTCTTGGCCACATTTCAGCTGGTTGCTCAGAAAGGAAAAGTGGTGTTTAAAGAATTTCTGACAGGAAAACTAAAATGAACAAAAATAATGAAGAAGTGGTATCGAGAAGATCAGAATTAAATTTGCAGGTCCAGCTGGCTGGGAATCTGACAACATGGGAGGGCAGCGCGGTGTAAAGACACCAGTTATAGCTCTAAATACTGAAAGCCCAAATCTGAATTTGCTTCAGAGGACTAATTAGTCCAGATAGGGTGGTACAATCCTGTAGAGTGGATACAGCATCCAAGCTTATCCATATCCAGAGAGATGAACTAAATGGTGATGAAAAGGATAGGGAAATTTTATAAAGAAGATTAAGGGCTTTTATGTATATATAGAGAGCTTAACAGGGTGAGACCACAAAGAAAAAGGTGGGGTTTAATACGATGGGGTGAAGAAAGCCAAATTAGGCATCCCGACAAAGGGACCTCTGGAATGCTGCCGGTGATGCAGGGCAGGGCTGAACACGAATAACCCAACAATACTTCTCCCTCTAATTTTTTTTCTCTCCGTACCAACATGCTTTTTGCCAGAATACCCTGTGTTTCGATACCACCACATTGTTAGAACGGTCCAGGCGTGACTTTGTTCCCATGCCAGCTGATGATCTTCTAAGCAATGCCCCAGGAGTGTCCGGGGTGAAGCCTGGGCCAGGGGCTGTTGCCAACAGGCAGCTCGCAGACAGACAGCTCTTTTAGAGGCCAGGAGACTTAAATAGCATCGGCCTGGCCAGACCTGTACCCCTTGGACTGGGAGATGACTCAATCCGCTCCGTCTGTGCAGCCACAGGTTGCTTGCCCAAGTTGCTACCTCGATATCAACAAGCCCTGCTGGTCGGTGACAAATAGTAGGTCCAGACGATTTTCTTTTAATGTACGCTCCACAGATCACCTTCCGCCACCGTAAAACAACTGGCAAACTGCTTTTAATCCTGCGTATATACTTTACGTGGTGGTTATGTGGAGTGGTTCTCACTGCAAAGCGAGGAGAAGCAATCCACGACTGGTCGTAAGAGAGAAATCCCCTTTTTCTGTAAATAAGAAATAAACCGTGCATTCAGTTGACTCGCATTTGCTGCATCAAGGGCCGGAAAGTCAGATTTTATTTTTCACTTCACAACTTTCTGCCAAAAAATATCCTTAATGAGCTATTTGTTAGTTTTCCATTCTACTTTGTTTCTGCTAGATAGATACCAAGTAGTATTTCTTTATTAAACCGCAGAGGTGTGTTCTGGAAAGACATGAAGACACATGAATTTTCTGTGAATGTTTACAAGAAACAAACACAGGCTATTTGTTGCTGCAGACAGAACTACTCTTTGAATTTAAACCGTAAATTAATAATACAGAATGAGTGAAAAATGTTTATTAATTCTAGACTAGCAAAGTATTGTAATAACTCTGGGGATAAAAAAGCAAACAGATGTGCCTGCTAAAATGAACCTTTATACCTGAAAGAAAGATGCACTGAATGGATTAAAATTGAGTAATTAAACGAAATTATTAACTTTGAGCAATGCGAAGTGGCAGTTGCCTAGTTGGATTTGGAGTTTTGCCATGATTTTATCAGGGCGGGACTGTCCTCTGGATGCCCTTAACGCATAAATGGAGGAGGGAGTATCTCCAAAGACAGACAATTAGTCCAGCAGAAAACTGGTCTAGAAAAGACTGGCTTTGCCAAGCTGAATCTTTATGCCAGCGTAGCTCTCAGAGTTGCCTCACCGAAGGCTCAGGCCAATGATCCCACCAGCACCAGGAGAAAATGGGACTTGGAAGATATCTCTAAATAGGCAGAAATTGTTGTGGAATGACCCTGAGGGTAGACCTGTAATGAAGATCTGTGGGGACTCTCAAACTCTTGTCCCTGGAGTGACTGTGTAAAACTTAAACAGCAACTGCTGTCACCGTCCCTGCCTCTAACGCCGTAGCTTCACGGTGTTTGAAGTGGCCTGACCTCTTCCTTTATCCCAGTAGCTCAGTCTTGCTGCGGTACTACCCCTCTCCTTTCTACTCTTGTAGTAGAGAGATCAGGGAACTGATCTGCATTCCAAACAACTGGATTTTTTTTTTCTTTTTTTTTGTTAAGTTCAGATTTAACACAAATCTTTATTCACCTCCGATCCCTTGGGCTGAAAGTCCTGGTTCAGGTTTTTCCTGGCAGGGTCCAGAAGGTGCCGGCTGCCATCAGTGAAGTTCTGGCAATGCTGTAAAGCGAGGGGCCCGGCTGCACTGCGATGACCCAGCAACAAAAGTGTGATGCAGGCCAGTCAATATTTGATCTTTCCCACAATGTTAGTTTACTGCATGGAGTTTTACAGTTAGGGCAAGACACCCATGATCTCCCACACTGCAAAAGAAATGTTCTTGCTCTCTTGCTCTCCTGTAAAGCTGGCAGTCTAGGAGGAACTAACAAGCTTTCTCTCACCTCTCCACCCCAGATGGAGCCTTGATGTTCCAGCAAGTGCCCCTGGTTGAGATCGACGGGATGAAGATGGTGCAGACCAGAGCCATCCTCAGCTACATAGCAGGGAAATACAATCTCTATGGGAAAGACTTGAAGGAGAGAGCCCTGTACCGTAACACCTCCTTTCACTTAATCTGTTATTTGATAGCTGCATTGTATATAACAAATTCAATCCTGTAAATCCAGTAGAAAGGCAGGAGAAAGGCTAACACAATATAAAGCAAGGACTCTGGCCTTTGCTTAGGTTTTAACCACTGCTTCTGAAATGCTGCTGAAGCGAAATAGGCTTTTAGTCCTTCTAAAAAAAAATTTAGCTTTAGTTTATGTTTAGTTTTGGCTGTGAAAATTGGCACTATAGGGATGACATAAAATTCCTGTAAATTGCCTGAGTTAATAGGAAAACAGATGAAATAACTTCTGTGTTCTTTTCTACTGTCTTCCCCCCACGATAGGATTGACATGTACGTAGAAGGATTAACAGACATGATGCAAATGATTTTGATGTTTCCTTTCTCTCCACCTGAGGCAAAGGAGAAAAATCTGGACTCAATTAAGGAGAAGGCAACCGACAGGTACTTCCCAGTCTTTGAAAAGGTAAGTGACGGTGAGGATGTGTCTACAAAACTGGTGTTTCCAATTATCAAAAAGTTTCCCCAAAATAAGAACAAGTTTGTAGTGCAGGTCAGTTCCAAATCCTCAGCTTTCTCGGCTCTCTCAAAGAAGAGGAAATACAGCAGCACATTTTCACTCTCTGTCGGATTGTGTTGGCAGGGCTGTGGTATTTGAACACCTACAAAGCAAACAAAGCAGTATCTTCTCAGCTATACAACAAAACTTTTCACTAAAGTAAAAGCAAGCATGTATGATTTCTTTTTTCCTGGAGGGGCTGGTTCCATACTTGTATTTGTTTAGAGCACATCTCTCTGCTATACTTTAATTTCTGTTGGAACATTTTCATTAGAAGAATGCAAAAATCCCTTGCAAATAAATCAGGTCGAGAGATTAGGAGTACTTTAGTAAAACAAGAGTCATAGATTTCTGCACATCCAAACACTTTTGAAAACAACAAACCAAACCCATATGACTCAGGCATCTGGCAACATTTCTCACTTTTGTAACGTTCATCTAGTTTTGATGGAAAACAATTATAAAGGCTGAACATCTTAAAAGTTTTTATGACTATAATAAGTTAGTCTCAAAGGCAGGGATTTTCTTGGGTTAGCTATGATAATTCTGCATTTCTAAGTTTGCTTCCTGGTATCAACATTGAACATAACTTTAAATGAAATATCTAAATGGCAATTTTATAAATTCTCCAAGTTACTTTTTAGTTCCTCCATTATCCTTATTTCTAATTCTGTGACTGTTACTAGTCTACTTAAGTGCGTGGCTTTGTCACTGTTCCCAGTGCCTATCGTCATTCATCATTACCGAGAGACCAAAGTTTGTAGTCTGGCTTCTACAAGAGTTCAGATTTTTTCCCAACAATAATGAAGTGATTTGGTCTCACAGCCGAAAACCCCACCCTGAATTTTGAGATATAATCCCTGTTCAGCTCTGCAGCTGGGCTGTGAGGCTTAGCTGCCAGGCAACCTATGTCCCAGCCCCATCTGCAGCCCACATTCTCTTGTATTTTACAGGTTTTGAAACAACACGGCCAAGAATTTCTTGTGGGCAACAAATTCAGCTGGGCAGATGTTCAGCTAATTGAAGCCATTTTAGCAGTGGAGGAGAAAATACCTGCTGTGCTGTCGGGGTTTCCTCAGTTGCAGGTAATTTTGTTATTGAGCATGCCAGTGTTCAGGAGCTAGAGGGCAACCTGCAGTGATCAGCTCTCCATGCTATGTAAATCAGGAATGTGGGCTCTTTGAGGAACTGTCACTATCCTACGTTTGCTTAACATCAAACACAAGAGGGAACTGATTTAGTTGGTTTGTTGTAAGACACTGTGCTCCAACTGTACCCTGGGCTGCATCCCAAGCAGTGTGACCAGCAGGTCGAGGGAGGGGATTCTGCCCCTCTGCTCCGCTCTGGTGAGACCCCCCTGCAGTCCTGCCTTCAGCTCTGGGGTCCTCAGCACAAGAAGGACATGGACCTGTTGGAGCGAGTCCAGAGGAGGCCACGAAGATGATCCGAGGGCTGGAGCACCTCTGCTGTGAGGACAGGCTGAGAGAGTTGGGGTTGTTCAGCCTGGAGAAGAGAAGGCTCCGGGCAGACCTTAGCGCAGCCTTCCAGTACCTAAAGGGGCCGACAAGAAAGCTGGGGAGGGACTTTTGACAAGGGCACGGAGTGATAGGACAAGGGGCAATGGCTTTAAACTGGAAGAGGGAAGATTCAGATGAGATATCAGGAAGAAATTCTTCCTGGTGAGGGCGGTGAGGCAGTGGCAGAGGTTGCCCAGGGAAGCGGTGGCTGCCCCATCCCTGGAAGTGTTCAAGGCCAGGCTGGATGGGGCTGTGAGCAACCTGGTCTGGTGGGAGGTGTCCCTGCCCAGGGCAGGGGGGTTGGAATGAGGTGATCTTTAAAGTCCCTTCCAACCAAACCATTGTATGATTCTATTAACCCTTTTCAGGTATGCCTATCCCTCTTTGAGTGCTATATGCCTCCTGAATGGAAATAAATTAATGTCATCCCAAGGGAATCACTGATCAAAGCTGCCCTGTTTGCATTTTCCCGCTTCCTGCCAGTAGATGCTCTCTAATACCAGATAACAAATTAAACCTGTGATACAGGTTGGCTCGTTACAATAAGGTACAGCGTGCCATTTTCTGTACTGGTTGGTATTATAGTTTTGGGATCCCAGCAACCTCACTTCACTTCTGCCTTCTACAGAATGATTGGAAACTCCAGCTTTAGCATTAAACCACAGTTTTCTTTCCATACAATTGAAGAGGAATTCTCTGCCTTTGTGCCATGTACAAAGGCTGAAACCAAGCAGAAGTGAGGCGGTTCTGCTGTGAGACTTGCCCAGAACTCAGAACCCTCCAGGTATGCAGCGTGCTATCGAGCGCAGTGCGTGGGCAAGCCTGGGCATGGTGTGCAGGAGTCGTTAAGGGATGAGATACAGTGGACCCAAGTAGTCTGTGACTGGAAAAAAACCAGATAGTGTTCAGTAGTCCTCCCATGTGCCTGTAATCATGGTAATAAAGCAGCGTAGGCAACAAAAAATTGGGTTGAGGATGCAAGGCTTGAGGTCATGCTTCTTTGTGCTTACAAACTGTTAATTTGAGGGGTGCGCTCAAAGACACCGGCTTTATTCTCATTAGCAAAAGAAACAGTTCAGCATCAGACTGTCACAGTTAGGTTTTCTGCTTGGAACTGATGAGGAAAAGGACTTTGATTTTTTTCTTTGTTTAATTCCTTTTAAAAAAATTTTAAGATCTCAACCCCAACAGTTTAAACTTGAATTCAGTGTGACAGAGTGAGCCACTTCAGCCACAAAATGGGCAGTAACGTGTGTCAGATTTTATCCTATATGCAGTTTTCCTGCCTCAGGTAATTCTTGACTCTAGCTCCCATCCTCTAGCAAGACATCTTAGCTGCTAGGCATGGGCACAGTTGTGTTGAAGCCATGCCTTGGATTACGGAGGGATTCCTTCACTGCCAGAAGAGAAAAAGTTTCTAAAATTAGTGGTTACTTATTTCACGGTTTTTACTTTTCTTGCTCCTTCCTGTATTTCCCCTTTATCCTTCCAGTGCCTTAAGGAAGAGGAAATTATGTTCATACATCTGCCAGCGAGAACTGGCTGGCGCTCTGTGAAGCTCCTCTCCTTAGGCCCATTGCTAGAAGAGGTTCTTGTGTATCTAGGATTGCTCAGCTAACCGCGGGGTCTCCAGCTGCTTGCAGTCTGCATCAGTGAGTCCTCCCTGACTGTTTGTACAATGAGATGTCTCATTGACTCAGTTGCCTTAACACAGCCATCTCTTGCCACCTGAGATGCCCAACTCTTCCCTAATCTTAGTCCTGGCCTCCAGCCACTGCTCCAGAAGGGACTAGGCCTCCCCAAGGGGCTGTGCTACATCTGCCAGCCCTATTTTGGGGTATTTTGGCTACCCTAGGCTACAACACAGTATGAGATGCCTCTACTGGACAACTGAGTTGAGCCAAGGATGCCTCCAGCCATTTCACCTTCAGCCACGCAATCCTAGAAATGCTGGGACAGAGGGACAACGGTGGCCACGCTAGATGCAAACAGAGCTCAGATACTTATGTAAGGTAGTAAAAATGGAAATCATATTAACACGTATTGTGGCGTGCCCACAGGATAGTTTGCACCATCAGAACCAGCAATGAAAAGATAAAGGTCATGAGCTGGGTTAGTGTATTTGTACCTTCAAAACTGTCCCCTGGTGGTGCCAGATACTGAGTTTTTGCCTTCGGTTTCTTTCAGGCAGCAGAGATTTAGATATTGTCTGCTCCAGTATTGCCTTCACTGGTAAGAACAGGCTTTTTGCAGCAGCTGGGTCCTTCTCCTGTTGGACAGAAGGCGACTGTGTAGATGGCACGAGGTCTGAAGGAATGATAGGATCTCTTCTAATAGCAGGGGGAAGCAGTTGTTCTATGCAAGGAGCACTGTGTGCTACTGGAGTAGCTGGAATTTCTCCTTTACTCTGTTGCTTTTATTTTTAGGCTTTTAAAAAAAGAATGAGCAATCTGCCTACAATTAAGAAGTTCCTGCAGCCTGGCAGCCCAAGGAAACCTCCACCAGATGAATGTTACGTAGAAACCGTGTTGAAGATTTTTAAGAAATGAATGTCTTGCTACCTTCAGTGAGATTTAAAATACTGAAAAAAACCCCAAAAACCCAAACCCCAGACCAAAGGAAGTAGGAAGCTCAGTAAATTAGTATTGTTGTAGTTAAAACCAATGGTAACCCTGTCCCATCCCCCAAAACCAAAATAAAGCATTCTGATTACTCTGGCAATGTGACAGCAGATTTGTCTTTACTGATATCAAAAGCTTTGCAGAATATGAAAACAAAGGAGTATGAAAGCAAAGAACTATTTGTAGGGTAGGGAATGTATTCATTTGGAAAAAGACTGATGCAATGTTAGTATTGCCAGAATGTAACTTGTTGACGAAGATATTTTCTGGATGAAAATAGGCTTCAGAATAAGAGCTATGGAAAGGAAGAAAGATAACAAGACTCACTGAATCACTCATCCTTTAAACAATTAGACTTGTTTCAAGAGCAATTTTGGTAAGGACTTATATTGCATTATTTTTACATTATTGTCTGAGTGAAACTTCTAATTTAGTCTTAGATTAGTACTCACCTGTTGTTACCAAAGCCATATCTCTTTGGTTTCTCACAATTCCCAGGTCTTGCCTAGGAACCAGCTCTTACAATGTTCCATTATTTTTCTTCCTCTGCCTTTTTAATGCGATTCTTCCAGGCACCTCAGTTTATTGCTCCCAACACATTAGAGTCTGTGCACCTCTTCACGCGGTGAACCTCTTCAAAGACTGGGGAGGGCAGAGCCACATCCCCAAACAGATGATCGCTCCGGTTCGGTATGTGTTCATACTTCTTTCTGTGCATTCGTCTGCCATTTGGGGGGACTCCCAGCTGCTTCCCAGCCCCAGTTCTGGACACCGACAGCCAGCTACATCTTTTTCCCAGTAAAACAAGAAGCACCAGGCTCCATTCCCTGGCTCTGAGGCCATATGCACACTATTAAACTCTTTTATTACCCAAAGCTGTGTAACCACATCCGAATGTCCTGTTGCGGATGCGCCCTGTCATGGACTGACTATGGCTGGGAGCCATTTGGGCAAGTAGCCGGCACAGACCGGTAGCCCTGAGCGAGCCACTATCAATTCAGTAACACAGACAATGTCTTCCAGCGCCCATGCCCTGGCACTGCCTCGTGTTTGATGTGATCTTTGAAGAGCTCCAGAAGGCAAAACCTCAGGCTGAGCTGCTGCTTTGCACAGGGTGAAATGCGGGCAGCCCAGGGGTGCGGCTGCTTCGGAGGCAATGTGACGGGACCAGTGACACTGAGGTGATCCCAGTTCCTCCCAGCGAGGCCTCTCTGCCATGGCGGAGGCGATTCACAGAGTGGCAACGGGGAAGGAGCAGTGGGGTCACAGGGCAGCGCAGGTTTCATGGCTAGGACAGCTCAGGTGTAATAAAGTTGCCTAAATTTCTCCCACCAATCTCTCCTCCTGCAGGTAAGTTCACTAATCTTTTAGTGAGTCGTGCTCATTATCTCTATCCTAAAAAACTGTTTAAGGTTTCTTGGAAAGTGACTTTGGTCCAATGTGAGCAGTGAAGAATGTGCCACCTGAAAGACTCCCAGGTCTGATGTCAGGCTCAGCTCAGGCTGAAGGGAGGAATCGACCCGCATGGCTTTCACCCTGGATCTCTGCTCCAAATACAGAGCCCCTGGGCACAGCAGTGGTCACTGTTGTGGCTGGCATCGACACCTTCCTCCACAAGACCGTCATTCCTATTTAGTGGGGACTACCTAACCCTCTGGGAACCACAGGAAGTCTTGGAAAGATCTCTGGAGATGGCTCCTCACTTTGCTGGCTGGGATCTGTGCTGGCCTGCCTCACCCCCCTCACCAGGCGCCCTGAGCCGTGGTTCCTCAAGGTTCCCCAAGTGCTCATCTTTGGGACACCAGCCTCCCTGCGTTACCTTGCTGTCGCTGCTTTGTCTTCTCCCGGTTCCCTAGTAAGTGAAAGCAGCAGTTGCTGGAAGAAGTTGCTTTTCCTGTAAAATCCAGAAGGCTGGATTTTTTCCAGTTCAGCCCTTCTCTGCTTCCAAGGCATTCCCAAATCATGGAGAACTGAGAAACAGCGACAATGCTTCTTTTTAAGCTGATGACTCCATACAGGACATAAAAAGAAGTCATCGCTTCAGCCCACGTAGATATGGGAGGGCTGGGCAAAGGCCAGGAATAACCCTCTGTTACAGGAGGCAGCTTCTTCAAATTAATATCTACCATGTTTAGATCCCTAGGCTGGATTCCTAGGTTTAGATCCCAGAAGGCTAGATTTTACAGGGAAAATACCTGAACTTGTTTGTTAACAGTTGGCGATGCCATAGGCAAACTACCCGTGTGGCTGTGGTGCTCCTGGCATCTTGTGTCACCAGGCACCTCTGGGCTGTCCCAAGGAGGAAGCCACTGGGTACCTGCCTGTGCAGGGATGCCACCTCCCTCGCAGCCGCTTCCGCAGCGACGTACAGCTCTGTGAAATCCCTGCGGCTGCTACCTCTCCACGCTGAGCAACAGGATGGCCTTGGAACGTGAAAATGGAAGTACTGTGAGCTGGCTGGCACATCACTTGCTTCCATACCTCTAAAAGGTCAAAATGTAGTCAATGTTGCCATGGTTAAATTAAGGCCTGTGGGTGAACTGGATTTTTTAAGATCTCTGCAAAGATCTGATCTTGCAAAACTGATTGTTCTTTCTTCATAAATCCATTATTTCAAACCTTGTGTGTGATCTCACCAGCATTTCACATGCAGGTTACAAATACACTATCTCTTGAGAATAAAGCGTCGTGGAAGAAGCACGCAATCTGTTTTGCAGACTCAGGTAACGCAGCGGTGGTTTATTTCTACGGCTGTAGGGCAGAACATAGAGCAACAGAGGTTCAGATTCTATTCATTTTAAAACAAAAATATTAGGGCTTATATACATTTACAGCAGACAATCACTGCCTTGTGAAGGGGCCTGACGCAGCAGAGCAGCATCTGCATAGAAGGAAACTTCCATCCATCAGATGTAGGTAACCAAATCTGATGTGTAATATTGCCATGACAAAAGTGTAGAAAAAAGGAAATCAGAAAAAAAAATATTGGAAAATGGATCTGGCAGGGAGAAAACAGAAGAACAAACTTCCTTTTCAGCTTGCTCACTCTCCAGCATTCCTCCACGCCTCTCCCACGCAGCAGACTACGAAAGGACAATTAATTATTTCTATTAGGATGCAACTAGATGAAGTGGAGTTTTTAACTGAATATGCTCTGCATTTTGTTAAAGGCAACTTATTCTTTTACTACTATGTCTGATACAATTGTGTAGCTTTTTGGCTGTGACCTGCAAACACTGAAACTCATCTTTGTTCATCTGAGGGCAAGTGTGTGTTATGCACACAACTCAGATAGTGAGCACTAGCAAACTGTGTACTCAAGCACAACTTTATGCTTTAAGCATAAATAGAACTGAAGTAGAAAATACACTTATGTGAGTTATTCACATGTGTGTTTTAGGTAGCGCCGTCCTGTAAAATTTTATTACTTTTGTAACCAGGATTTCAGAAAAAAAAAAAAAAGTGTGTCCCTTAGTGTTGTCAAGCTTTTAGGCAAGCTAAACAAGAGAGTAAATCTTCTGAAAATAAGGGTGCTGGAAAAATGCCAGCATACCCCGTTTGCAGCTTAACCCTGTAAGAGGTACAAAGAAAATGTTCAACCCAGTTGCATTTCCCACTGGTATAGGACTTACTGTAGGGGCAGCGAGCACAAGCAGTTTAACAAGTCATATGGGACTTTCCATGTCCCATGGACCGTGAGGGCTGGAGGTCACTGTCAGGAGGAGGCAGACAAATACAGACTTCTGGTACTTCACGTGTAAGTCTTCCTTTCCATGCACACCTTGCGTTACAAAAGAGAAGCTGTATTTCCATCAGTTTTCCAGTCTTAAATTCCCAACAACTGCTGGAGGACCAGCTAGCAGAGTTAGGCGGCTGGCACCTCTCGCTCTAGGATAGTGAGGACCTGCAGGACAGATGTTGAAATGGTCAATGCACCTTCACGTTAGGCCATAAGGGACCTTAAAGTAGAGTCGTGCTGGTTTGTATCATGTTATTGCTGGGGTGGGTTTGGAGGGATACTTCCAGAGGAAGTTAATCCCTTAACTCTGGTTTCAGCAAGGAGAAGTCTGAAATCATTACTAGCAGTGATCTAAGAAACTCTTGAATTTCTATAAACACTAAGATCCTTTCTGTGCTGGCAGATAGAAAGCTGAGAAAAGAAGAAGAAAGATGTTAAAGAGAAGATTTTCAGGTGTGAAATGCTCTGGAAGTCCTGATATTCCCTGTCTATCAACGGCATGCTACTTTCTATGCTTACACACTGAGTGCCTCCATCGGGAGACAATCACATCCAGAAAGGAGAACGGCCCAAGGGCTGGAAGTGTGGAGGGGAAAATAGGGAATAATCACAGGTAAGTGAGGCAGTCTGGAATTTGTCAAGAAGACATAAACTAAAATTACAAACTAAGCAGGGGAGAGAGGGAGAGAGAGAGAAAAGGAACCAACTAGAGGTAACTAGAAGGAAACCTGAAGGCTTAACCTGCTGTTATGGGGAGAGAGAGCTCTGAAAGCAACGGTGAGCAGGCAACACCCCCTTCACAACCTTCTCTTTGTCTGCCTCACATGAAGATGGCAGGAGCTGCTGATGTTAGCCAAAGAAAGATGGTCGCTAATTTTCACTGAATATCACAGCGTAGCTTTGGTTTTGCTTAGGCCAGATCTTGCATTTGTTATTCAAACCATCATGTAAGGAACCGCTGGTAAAAATACATCATGGTAAAAAAAAATTCAAGCTTAGTAGCGCTGAGAACACGTGCTGGCTTCTAGGTAACCCACTTGCTCTTCAAAATGTTTGGGAAGACACCTAGTGCCCTTCACATACCTGAAGCCAAATGTTAAGTCAGCATGAGGATCACTGGAGAAAAGGACATTTTCTTTCTTTTAATTTCTCTCTTCCTTCTGCAAGGCTATCTTTTGCAAACATACGTAGGATCATTTTATGTTAGCAAT